TCACGCCCCGAGGAGCGCACGATGCGCTCACCAGACGATACGCCACTAATAATCTCGCCACGAGCTGCGCACGTCGAAAAAAAAATTAATAAGCAGGAAAAATCTGGTCGAAGCATCCAAATTAGCGGTGCAAGCACTCGGGGTAGGGGTGATGAAAGGAGCTCGATAGAATCAACTTAAAAATTATGGATTTGTTTTGTAGTTTGCTGTGTCTTTGCTCGGCAAAAAAATTCAAAATATAAAAAAAAAGTATTAGTAGAACTGGTAAATAAAAATACGTTTTTCCTTATCAGAAAATTATAGTTGTCGGAAGAGAACGCAACTTGGGCGTACGTTTTGAAGCTGAAGTGCTGAAACACAAACGCGGCGTGCGCCCCTAGCAGCCTAAATGTGGTTACACTTTCCACGCGCGATGTTCACAATGCGCAGCGCTCTCTTTTTGTCCTCTGCCACAAAGGCAGTACGGGGTAAACACACAAACATGCATTATTCCTTCGCTGTCAGTCCACATACGCGCCTTGTCTCTACGGCCCCTGCCTAACAGCGGCCGGCCAGCCCCCGTCCAGCAGCTCCGAGGTCAGCGTAGTCTTTTCAGGAAAACACACATTTTCTCGACTCTTTTCTCCCCCCCTTCTTTTGTTTTTGCCGAAAATAATTCATATGCCATATATTGTGTCCTTTTGTCGGGTGTTCGGCCCTTTGTTTCCCGGGGGGTGACCGCCTCAAGGGGTGGTGCGGTGTGGGGGCGGCGGCGGTCGGACTCATCCATATTGATACCGCCGCGGTCCGGCCGAGGGCCGTGTCACTTTCGGCTGCATTAGTAAACATTAAAACCTCAGTCGACCTGCGGCGCCTCCCAAACCCCCCTCGGTCCGGCCGGCCGCCCTGCTTTCCCGCGCGCCACGCCCCCCGGCCCGCCCCCTGACCCGCCGCCGACCGCCCCCGACCCGCCCCCCGACGACCCTGCTGCTGCTGCTCCTTTGGAATCGCCGGCCGAACATGCCGCCCCCGTAGCGCCCCTAGCAGGACCTTTCGTAACCCATATTTCGATCCGCTCGAACCTTTTTTAAGGATTTTTTCCCTCAGGAATTCATCATCTCTGCGGGTGCCCATCGGGTCCCTCTGGAACGTACTACGGTTGTACTACGAGGGACCGGCCAGATATTAGGGAAGGGGCGTCAACGCGTCCTCCCGCCCGACTACTTTGGGCGGGAGAGAGTCATCTGCCAGGGAGGAGAGCTCATATTAAAAGCCTAATCGGGGCGTAATTTTAGGGTGAGGGCGCGCGGACACTTGGCTGCGTCGTTTTAAAAATTGGCGCGCCGCCCAATTCCTGGAATGCGCAGGAGTAGTTGGTGATGCTGGCACGGTCAACTTTTTGCTTGTGTGTGAAATAAAATTTGAGTGCTATACCTCTTTATCTTCCTGGCCTCTTCCGTCGATTTCCGTCACTATCTGACAACTCCGGCTCATCCGATTTTCGTGTGTTCGAAGCGGCTGTAGTGATGATGATGCTCGGGGGAGAGGTTTTGGGGGAACGCGGGGCGGCAGCGGCGCGGACGACGACGACGGATGGGGGGCAATTCGTTTGTTGGCTGTTTATAACACAGGAACCTTTTGGGCCCCCGTAAATCCTTGTGCGCAGGGTCACACACACACACACATGTGTGTGTGAGCGCGTCTCTGTGTCTCCGCCGCCCTTTACAACGTTTGTTGTCATACAAGCTGGACGGGACGGTGGGACGGCCTTGTGTGTGCAGCAGGCGGCGGCGCGGCGGCAGCAGCCAGCGGCAGCCACCATGTGGCTCCGCGTGTGTTTACGCGACCAACTGTTTTAACGTTTTGGGTGTCGGTCTCCGGAAAACTGACCGAAACTTTTGTGCGCGGCGGCTCCCCGAAACACATTGCGCTCGACTGTTGCAGAGGCGGCGATATTTATATATGTTTTTACACTTTTGTGTCGGCGTGTGTTCGGAAGACTTGAAAGGAGGTTTTGCTATGGGCTCTGCAACGTCATACCCGGACACCGCCACACCAGTACCCGCAAGCGCCTTTGCTCACACCTTCCTTTGGCTTTAGGCGAGTTCCACTGGGCGCTTTGAGGAAATGGTAAATGCTTCTGGTCTCCTGCCAGGGTGCGCCCGCTGCCGCCGAGCGCGCGCGGCCGTGCGGCTTCTGTCCGTCGTCGACGGTGTCCAAAAGCGTCTGCTGTGTCTGGTGTGTGCGGGGGAGGTGATTGGTCGGGGTGAGAGGGAGGTAAACAGAGAGGGTAGGGTAATGACGGCGGGCCAGTCACCGCGTTGTTTACTTCCTGGAAAGCCCCCGCTGCTGCACCCACTGCACCCACTGCTGCACCCACGCGACTCCACCCCCGACGCACTTCCTGCAGTGGACGGTAAGCCCCTCCAATGGGGCAGGTCACTGCAGCGACGCCAAAATTCTAATCAGCAAATGTTTACCTGGTATTGTAACTCATCGCCTGTTAATAATGTTTAAAATTGTTTTTTAAAGTACACATTTGCTGAGAGATTCTCATCTGACGATTTGCTTGTCTTACCCGTTCTGACATTGAATGAGACGGCTAAAATAAATTTGCGTCTCTTTTTCTCTTTTCTTAACAGCGACGTGCTGTACGCTATGGGGGCATGGCGCATTTCATTTACACCCCCCTATGACGGCCGATTTAGGGGCATATCGCTGCGAGGCGGGCTGGGTAGCGTCGTGTCAGGTCGTTAGGACGCGAGCCCGCCGCGGGCGTCTGTTTATAAAGGGGGTGTGTTACTGTCTCGCTGTCTGGCCTGAGTCCTACGACGGCCGGGCGGGGTCCTCACTCGCGAGGTGCGGAGGTGCTGTATGTTGTTGTTGGCGAATGATGCCCGGGGATAAAGAAGCGAGTGGTGCGCGGCTCAGGCTCGGGTCGCCCCGCGGCCATGGGTTGGGGCGACGCGGACGGGAATGGGAACGAACTTTTGTGTTTTATTTGAAAGTTGCGGGGCAATGAGGAAGGTGCAGGGGCGAGAGGGGGGCACCGGCGCTTAAGGAACCGTCTGTAAAGATGTTTCTAATTCCGCGGGGCAGTTGTGAAGCAAGTTACATTCGACTGTAACTTCTTTTGAGCGGGAAGGGAGGGG